GCCTCCTGGGGCATTCGTCCTTTTCCCCCTACTCCTCCTCCTCCTCCTCCTCCTCCTCCTCCTCCTCCTCTCTCGCGTCCTTGTTTTTCCTCTTCCTCTCCTCCATGCTTTTCTTCCTCCTCCCCCCCTCTCCTCCTCCCCTCCTCCTTCTCCTTCTCCTCCTCTCTCCTCTCCTCCTCCTCCTCCTCCTCCTCCTCCTTTTGCTTCTCCTCATGCCTCCTCCTCCGCTTGCCTCCTCCTCCTCCTCGTCTTCGGCCTCAGCCTCATCCTCGTCCTGTCTCTTTCTCTGGCATTTTCCCGTGTCCCCCTTGAGCCTCTTGCCTCGGCCTGGGGCCTCAATGGGCCTCCCGTTCCCTCCTGGAGCCTCCTTGGGCTCCTGAATGTTGGCCTCCTTCTCCTCCTGCCTTGGTTGGTCTCCTCCTTGTGCCTCCTGCCTCCTCCTGGGGCCTACTGCTACCACCTGGAGTCTTCTGGGGTTTCCTGAAGCCTTTGAGGCCTCCTGGGACCTCCCGGAGCCTCCCGGTGCCTCCTGGAGAATTCGTGGCCGCATAGGGTTTCTTGGTGGTTGTGGGGCTTCCTACGGTCTCTGGGGCCTCCTGGGGCCTCCTGAAACTTTCTGTGCCTTCCTGAAGCCTCCGTGGGGTTCCTGTGACTTTCGGAAGCTTCCCGAGGGTTCTCGCTCGAGACTTTTCGCGATCCATTCGCTGACAAGGTTCCCTCTCGAGACTTCCTCCAGATTCAAGCCTGGGGAGCCAAAAAGTGATGCAGTTGCAAAATTTGGATGACATCGCTCGGATTTCAACATGGAGGTTGGGGTCCCTATAGGGAGGGCAGATTCAGGCCGGAGGAACCCAATTACCAGCATGAAGTGCGGGCCCCATAGGTAGGGAGGAGACCCCCGCTTGAGACATCCTCACGATTTGCTTCTTGGGGTGCTCAAGTGTTATGCCTGGTAGAATTTGCTTACGTCCCGCTCGGAGTACCAACATTAAGTGCGAGCCCCATAGGGAGGGGGTTCCAGCATGAACGTCCTTGCAATTCTTTACGCTTCGCGTATCCCCACCAGCCCATCTCAAAACAGCAACTCTTGCGAAGCATGCCGAGAGTCGTGTTTTTCAGGCGTGTTTCCGCCTGCTCCCGCATATCTCCCCTGTTCCTCCTTCCTCCCGCCTCCTTGTACATCCTCCTTGTGGTGGGAGCGGGAGAAGGACGAGGCGGAGGAGGAGGGAGAGAAAGCGCTCCTCGTGGTTTGAGTCGTTTGGGGGTTCTCGTCCTGGTGTGAGTCGTTCGGGCCCTTCTTCCTGGTGTGAGTCGTTCGGGCTCTTCGTGGTGTGAGTCGTTCGGGCTCTTCGTCCTGGTGTGAGTCGTTCGGGCTTCTCGTGGTGTGAGTTGTTCGGGCCCCTCGTCCTGGTGTGAGTCGTTCGGGCCCCTCCTCCTGGTGTGACTCGTTCGGGCTCCTCGTGGTGTGAGTCGTTCGGGGCCCTCGTCGTGGTGTGAGTCGTTCGGGCTCCTCGTGGTGTGAGTCGTTCGGGCGCCTCGTCCTGGTGTGAGTCGTTCGGGCCCCTCCTTCTGGTGTGAGTCGTTCGGGCTCTTCGTGGTGTGAGTCGTTCGGGCCCCTCGTCCTTTTGGGGCGTCTTGGGGGCCTCTTGGCGGCCCCAGGGGCTTCTAGGAGCGTCTTGGGTGCCTTGGGGGAGCCTCTTCGGGCCTCTTGGGAGCCTCTTGGAGGCCGGTTGGGGCGTCTTGGGGGCCTCTTGGCGGCCCCAGGGGCTTCCAGGAGCGTCTTGGGTGCCTCGGGGGAGCCTCTTGGGGCCTCTTGGGGACCTCTTGGGGGCATCTTGGGGGCCTCTTGGAGGCCTCTTGGGGGCCTCCTGGGGGCCTCTTGGGGCCATCTTGGGGCCTCTTGGTACCTCCTGGGCGCTTCTTGGGGCCATCGTGGAGGGGATGGATCAAAGAAGAGGGAAGCTTCCATGAGCGCTGCCGCCTCAGAAGGGCAAAATGAGCCGAAAACCTTCGGAGAATCAATGATTTTGCTCTGAAGGAAGAGGGGAGCTGTAATTAGCGCTGCCCCCTCAGAAGGCCAAAATGGGGCCAAAACCGTAGTAAAATCAATGATTTTGGCTTCAAAGAAGAGGAGAGGGTTTTTTTGCTTCCCCCCGTCGGGGCCAGAATCCTCGTGAGGGGTGTCGTTTTTAGCCCTCCCAGGAGTCGAAATCGACCCCCCTGACGACCCGCCGGACCCCCTCTCCAGGCCCAGGGGGAGGGGGTAGGGGGAGGGGTAAACCCCTCCCCGAAGGGGAAGAAGGGGGGTTGAGGACAGAGAGAGCTCCCTAAACCACTCACGCCCAAAGGGCTGGTGGGATTCACACAGACGAGGCCCCCGCTTGAGACATTCTCACGATTTTGCCCCTTGGGGTGCTCAAGTGTTATGTCTGGTAGAGTTTCCGATGACCCGCTCGGATTTCCAACATGAAGTGCGGGCCCCATAGGGAGGGAGCTCTCGCTCGAAACCTTTTCGCAATTCACTCACAAACGGGGCCCCCGCCTGAGAGATCCTCACGATTGCCCCCTTGGGGTGCTCAAGTGCGATGCCTGTTAGAGTTTACCGATGACCCGTTCGGATCACCAACATGAAGTGCGGGCCCCGTAGGAAGGTGGTTCCCGCCTGAGACTCCTGCAGTTTACTCGCAGACGAGGCCCAGGAGTAACTTCCGAGGTTTGAGGGCGAACGGAAGCGCTTCGCTCATACGTTTAAAGCTCGACCAGAGCCCCGGGCCCTAATTTTTTCTGGTGCACTTGTCGAGCCAGATCGATCCGTGAGGGCCCCGGGGCCCGAATCAAGGGCCCACGCGGTGAAAAAAATGCGACGCCCGGATCTCAGGGACCCACGCGGTGTCGGGAGTTGGCGCCGACGCCATCGCGTTGCGAACCCGCCGTGGATCAGGAGCAGCGTTAGGGGATGACAGGCTCAGGGTGGATGCATCGACCCTTTGCTCCCATTCATCGCCGACGGGGACCCGATATAAGTCACCCCGCCCAGCAACCGGCGCCTTCGCCCTCGGGGGCCTATCGCCGATCTGCACTGCCAATTCCACGTCGATGTTTCCCCCCCTGAGCTGGTCCCCCCGAAAGTTCCCCCTCGGTGAGCAGGTTCGACGCCCGCGTGGACATCCCCGAGTTCATCCCGGGCTTGACCGCGGACGACGGCCATCCCCGTGGGGCGCGAGCGAGAGCCCGTCAGCGCCGGACCGACGCTCGGATGCCCCCGAGCGGTGCGGTGACCACACCGTGTGGTCAAGCAGTGGGGGCTCGATGTCACCGCATATGAGCGTTTTTTTATTCGTTGTTTTGCCGTTCGGCGCGGGCCCTCGCACCCCCCCGTCCCCCCTCCGCCATGGAGTAGATCTTGTTTGCTTTTGGCGCTTGCTTCGAGCAGGTGGAGCCTCCCCCGTAGGACGCACGGTTCCGAACAGTCGCACTAAGCAGGGGTCCGGAGCCAGACCCCTCCTTCTCTCCTCCCCCCTTCCGCCAAATGGCGAAACGCCGAATAAGAAAATGTTCACCATAGTTTTTGGGACTCGGATCGTTCTTCGAGGACGCCTCAGTTGGCTTGGGCCTGCACGGTCCCAAAGCCGTGCGGTGAGTTCTTTGGTGTTTCCGTGGTCACGGTCTTGGGACGTACGATCGAAGACGAAGAGGGCGGGTATCGAGGGTTTGGGATATACGTTTTGAATGGCCCGCGAGCACATAAGAGCGAACAGTCTTAAACATTGATTGTTGTTGTTGTTGCTGTTGCTGTTGCTGTTGCTATTTCATGCACCTTGGGGCCCTCGCTGGGCCCCAGAACCGACAACTCTCGGCGAAAAGCCGGTCCGAGGGAATGCGTCGAGACCTCCAGGGGTCGACGTTGCGAGAAAAGCACGACCTCGGGGGTCTGGGTCCAGCGTCCTGCAAAAAATGAGGGCGGCGTGTATCTCGTGATTCTCGGTTTCCGAGAGCTGGACCGAGGGACGGGGCCGATGCAGGCAGACCTAGGATGAGGACCTTTTCGATCCAGAGCGCTGCGGAGCGCCCCTGTCAGAGCGTTCCGGAGCGCTCTGGGAGCCGCCGCGGCGGCCGAGGCATCCTGCAGACCCGCCAGCCCCCCGAGATATTCTTGGTCAGTCCTTATGCGAGTCTGTTCTCATCCTGCTCCCCTGAGATGGCGAACGAACAATACACACACCCATACTACCCATCGGTCGTTGAAAGTAGGTACTTTTGGAGTCCCAGACTCCAGTCTGCTTTTGAGCGCATTCCTGCTCCAATGATCAAGTGGCTTCACCTGTTCCGTCCTCCTTCAGAGGGCGGGCGGAGGCCCAATCTGCTTCTGACGCCTTCCTGCTTCATGCTTCTGCCTGCCTCGTCCGACCGATGGGTGTACCCGCAGGGGGGACGGAGAGGGCTACGGGTGCGTGTGGTCGGACGGACGGGAGTCTCCCCCGGGGGTCCGGCAACGCGCACCAACACCCACGGCCCGTCGCCGTCCCTTCGACGCCCCTAGGGGTGTGGGTGCGTGTGTTGTTCGTTCGCCGCCGAGATTCGACGTCACGAGCAGAAGCACGGGGTCGTAGCAAAGCTCGGCCAGGGCCCCCGAGCAGGCCTTCTCCGCGAGCACTCCTCGGGGCGGATCGGCCCGTGAGGGCCCCAGGGGCCCGAGGGAGCAGCGCAGGAGCCGCCCCTTTCCGAGCCACCTGCGACAGCAGGTCTTGAGGTCATCCTGCCCTCCTCCTCCTCTTCCCCCTCCTCCTCCCCCTCCTCCTCCTCCCCCTCCTCCTGCTCCTCTTCCTCCTCCTCCGAGCTCGGGGGATTCATCTTGGTGCGACGGGGTGCGGCTGACCAAGGCCACGTCGCGCCCAGGCGCTTGCTCCCAAGCCCTGCGCAGGCGTGCCCAGACAGCAGGTCTTGGGGCCCCCTGCACACAGCCGGCGCCCTCGCTCGCGCCCCCCGGCCATCTGGACAAGGCACCCCTGAGCAAGTCCGCCAAGCGGCGGAGGGAGCGCAAGCTCGCGGAGAAGCGCCGCGACATGAGGACGCTCCCGTGTGGGCCTCCGCGGCCGCAGGGCCCATTCCAGTCCGACCGGTCCGATCAGAGATCGATTCCTGCCAGCTCGATCGATTCGTTTGGGTTCCTTTTTTTGGAAGGGTAGATTCAGCATCAGCGCGGACATAACTGGTCGAAAACCAGCCGAATCCAGCATAATCCCCTTTGGTTCCATCTAACCCCGCTCACTCCAGTTGAGCCTGGCTGAATTCTGGGCGACATCCAGCCCAATTCGGCTTCATGCCTATTGACTCCTGAAACGGGTCTGATTGCCCAGCACTTGTTCTTGCGAGGGCCTCCCAGGAGATGCTTCCTACGATTCGATTTCGATACTCTGGCGGTCTGGCTCGGCCCGATGTTTGCATGGCGTCGTCGTTCACGCTGGCGCGGCCGATCCGCTTCGGTTCCAGCTCCGTGTCGATGCGGCCTGACCCAGCGCGCGTTTCGATTCCGTCCGATGACCCGACTCGATTCTCAGGGCTGCCTAAAAAATGATGATTTTTTGTTATTAATCCAGGACAGTGGCGCGGCTTAGAAGGCTGCAGCCGTGCGTCGAACCATTCTCTATCCTTCCCTTTCTCTAGGTGGAGTCCTCCTCCTATCCTCCTCCTCCTCCTCCTCCTATCCTCCTCCTCCTCCTCCTCCTCCTCCTCCTCCTCCTCCTCCCTCCTCCTCCCTCCTCCTCCTCCTCCTCCCTCTGGCGAGCAGCGCCACAGGCTGAGGGGGCCCTGAGATGCTGGCTGGCCCTGCACGGGTCCCTCTGCTGGGGCGCCGCCCTGCGCGTGCCGCCCGCGGGCCCTCCCGGGGCCCTCCCCGTGCCCCCAGAGACCAGTTCTTTGGAGGAGGAGGAGGAGGACTGCTTGGGGCATGACGGGCGTCATGGCCCCCTCCCCCCCAGCCCCCACCTAGTGACGCAACGCTTCCCCCCCCCAGTGCGCTCCCGGCTCTGCCGCCGTGCACGCTGGGATATCCACGTAGGTGTCCGCGTAAGAATCCGCACAGGAGTCTGGTCCGCAGTCGTCGTCGTCGTCGTCGTCGTCGTCGTCGTCGTCGTCGTCGTCGTCGTCGTCGTCGTCGTCGTCGTCGTCATCACTCGTGGCTCGTCGCTCATCGTCGTCGTGCGCACGGACGCGGCTGGAGCCTGTTATTTGTTCCGGGCCGAACGCGGCAATCATCTGAGGGGGTGTGGAGGGGGTCGATGACATCATGTTTCGCGCCGGCGGCGCCTGGGAATGCCTAGGAATGACGGAGGACGGGTAGCACAAGCATGTAGGTGGCGATCTGCACCACAGTGCCTGTGTACACGACAGTGCCTGCGTGCACCACAGCGCCTGTGTACACCACACCGCCTATGTACACCACGGCAGCCGCGTGCAACACAGCGTCAGTTTGTGCCACCGTGCCCGCGGGCACAACAGCTGTTGTGTACACCGCAGCGCCTGCGTACACCACATCAGCCGTGTGCAACACAGCACCAGTGCACACCATAATGCCTGCGTGCATTGGAGTGCCTGAGTACACCACGGTGCCTATGTGCACCACAGCAACCGTGTGCAACACAGCGCCACACTTGCATATCGAATGTTAGAAGGAATCCGTATGACAAAATGGAGCGCTTGTGGATTCCACAAACAGCAATACAAAGGAATCCTTATGGACAAAGGAGCGCCGCTGGAATCTACGAGTTCCCCCGAGTCCGCCCGCATCACCCTAACTTCTCCCATCTGCCTCCAGGAGGCTCCAGCGAAATTGGCCGTGCGAGAACCAAGTGGACAGATTCAATAGACCATTATGCGGTGCACTGCGCGCTGAATTGCGCACGTGCTCTGTAGCGCCGCCCCGCACGACAGGCGGTAAGGAGGAGGAACAGGAGGAGTAGGAGGAGGAGGAGGAGGAAGAGGAGGAGGAGGAGGTGGAGGTGGATGTGGAGGTGGAAGAGGAGGGAAGAGGGAACAACGTCGTTCGATTATCAGCACTGTCCTGCACGCAGGCACTGGTGTACAGTCGCGCTGCGTTGCACGCGGATGTGGTGTAGACAGGCGCTGTGGCGTGCACAGGCGCTGCGGTGCACGCAAGCATTGTGGTGTACACAGGCGCTCTGTTGCACATGGTTGCTGTGGTGTAAACGTGTACACCGGCGCTGTACTGTACGCAAGCACTGTGGTGTACACAAGCGCTGCGTTGCACACGGTTCTTGCGGTGTACGCAGGTGTTGTGGTGTTCGCGCGCGTTGTGGTGCACGCGAGCGATGTGTACAAAGGCGCAGTGGGGCGTATGGCCACCTCCATTTTGCTCGCGTCGTCCTCGTCGTCGTCGTCGTCGCTCGTCGCTCGTCGCTCGTCGCTCGTCGCTCGTCGCGTCGTGCGCGCGGGCGCGGCTGTGGTGCCGGAACCACACGGCGGGGGGGGGCGTTACGTCATACCCCTCCCCGCCCCCCCCGCCCCCCATGACGCCCGTCATCGCCGAGCATAAAGAAACGCTCTCCCGGAACCGTCAAAAAATCGGTTCGGCAGCGAGGGTTGGCATCCTGCAGGGGCCACTTCGATTCCTCCGATTCGATGCGATTCGCTGCCGAGGGCTTCCGATTGCGATTCGATTCGATTTCGGACTCCGATGTGGGCTGCGACTTATCGATTCGATTCTGGGCTCTCCTGCCCTGAGATCTTGGCATCGCAGTTTTTGTTCACACCAGGCGGTTCTGCCCGAGCGCAGGCCCCCTGAATCCTCGCGGTTCGATCAGGCTTGAGACACGCCGCAGAGAGCCTGGGTCTCGGGCCAAGGGTCTGGTCCAGGAATGCTTCTGTCTGTTCTCTGCGATGCCGCATTTTTTTTGTGTGACGCAGGATCTCAGGGAACACGGCGAGGGCGAGTCGCCCAGCGCCCATTTCCCCGCGACGGGCGTACAGGGGACGGCTCCGGTGGGCAGAAGTTCTCGGAGCCGAGCGCGCATTTCTTGGGTCAGCCCAGGCCCCCGCGCGCTCCGCGCGCCAGGGGCAGGGGTCTGGGGACAGGGGTCCAGTCTGCACGAACGAAATGGGCACGGAAAGAATGGGCACAATGCCCATTGAACAGGACTCGCTGTCCGCGCCGCCGCGGCCTTTGTCCATTCGAGACAGGAGGCCGCCTGCCCAACAGCGGCCGCTGATGGTTTGGGACAACATTTGCTCTTGGGGATTGTACCCATTCTTTCCGTACCCATTTCGGGCGTCCAAATCCAGGGCCGACACGAGAAATCCTCATTGACCTCTGGCCATGAATGTCTGCGCGGTGTTCTCCCCCCCCACCCAGGCTCCGTCGGGGCGGGCCGTGCTGGGCGTCTGAACGTCCAAGGGTACGGCAGGCCCGTGCGGCGCTGGCGCGCCGGCGACGCCAGCGAGGGCGTTCCAGGTTGAATTCTGCGTCGCGGAAGCGCCGAGGGACACGGCATCGCCGCTGCGCCCGACGGCATGCAACCTGGAACCAGCGGGGCCGCGATCGATTCAAGGTCGAAAACGATCGGCGCGGTGTCCAGAACCCTCTGCGCACGCCGAGGCCGCACGTAACCTGCCGTGTACGGTGTGTCGCTGCCGGATCGGCAGCACTCAGAGCGTTCGTGTCAGCCCAGCGCGTGTCCGCTCGCGTCGTGCCCACGGGCCTCGGCGGACGGGCACACGCTGGAGCGCCGACTCGCGTGCCGGGGGCCATCGACTCGGAGCGCCGTGAAGAGGCCCCTCCCTGTCGAACCCGAGCTCGCACCTAGCCAGCCCGTCCTGGGACTTTCAGCGAGTCCTGGCCAGGGCCTGGCGAATGATGGGCGTGTTTTCCACCACCACCACCATGAGTTGGAGGGGGAGGGGGTCCTCCTCTTCCTCCTCCTCCACCTCCTCCTCCTCGTCCTCCACGTCCTTCCCCCCCATCCAACTTGTGGTGGTGGTGGTGGAAAACAGGCCCATCACTGGCCAGAGCCTGGCGAAGTCGGGGTCCCTGCCGCGGAGGAGGAGCAACGAGTCCATACTGGGGCCGATCGTGGGGGCCTCGGCTCGGCGCGGCCTCGGAGGGCGGCGCGCGGCGCGGTCTGGAGCGGCGGCAGCGGGGGGGCTAGCTCCCGGGGCGGGGGGCGACGCTCAGAGGTTGATGGACCTCCTTTCCTGACACGTCGATTAGCGAAGTGGCCGTTTTCGGTTCGCGAGAGGGCGTCGCGGCCGTCATTTTTGCGCGTCCGGGTCCGTCGGTTTTGGTCCTGGGCCGTTTTCGCCAAGGGGTGGTTTATTACAGGGAGGTTTGTTCAACGCCGAGACGCTTATCGACCCGTAATGTTAAGTCAGGCATCTCCTTCTACAGGAGGAGCATTCAACACGTAGTTACAGCATGGTTTGGTGACGGTTTCTGTTTGAACAACCACATCTAACTATGCTTGCTTTTGTCTTGTGGTTTTCTTCATGGTTTTCCTTCCGAGATCCGCCTGCAGGAGCCGATCGCCGATGCCTGGCCGATCTGGGCCCGGGTGCCCCTGCTTCTTTCGGCTTACTTATTTAATTGATTAGGGGCTTTGCGCCATTGGCGCGTCGGCAGAGGCAAGGCCTTCAGCACGCCTACCTCTTTGCAGCCTTTACCTCAGCCTGCCCCAGGAACGTGCGGGGGGGTCCAGATCGGGGGCCGATCGCCAGTCTACCGCTCCGAGGTCCCCCGCGGGGCCGCAGAGGTGACAGGGCTGCGCGCGCGTGCGGGCCGGGTCGGACAGCTGGCCTTCTCCAGGGGGCGGCGCGAGGCTGCGAAGAGGCATGCGCTTCGCACAGTCCTGAGCACGTGCGGTGCGCGAAGTTCGGTTTAGGCGGGATACACAGACACAGGCAAAACGACACGTAGACTCCCACGAACATCTTACACATGTAGGCAGTGGAAGGGGAAAACGAACATCCCGTGAATATGAAAACCATGAGGGAACCTAGAACTTGTGTCTGGTTATGTGTGTGTCCCTTGGCCCCTTCATCGGTGTCTCCCTGCCTGGCTCCTTTCAGCGGATCGCGAGGTTACGCGACGCGGTGCCTGAGGCTCTGTTGTGGCTACTCCCGCTGCCAAGTTTGATTGTTGCCGCCTCTTGCTTGCAGGACGTGTTTCGGACGTGTTTCGTATATTGCCCCGTGTGATTTCATATGTTGGTTCGGCGTTACCTGGTGTACCGAGCTATTCGAGTCACACAGACCACATGGCTGTTTAACATGTCTCGTCGACGCCAGACCACGCGACAGCAACATCATCCAGTGCATTCCCGACATTGGTTTTACCTCATCCCTGGCACTTTTGCACAAACCACATATTTGGCGGCGGGGTTGACGACCAAACAAAACACTTGCCCATGTAATTCCACATGTCTTGGAGGCTCCTTCCATCACCGAGCGATGTGACGTTGCAGACTATACAGAGTTGGGGCAAGTGTTTTTCTTTGTGGTGGCTCGAACTTGCACGTTTCAGGTCACATGGTTGAGTATTGGCCCAATGCAGGTTGTAGGGTGCACGGCTGCACTGTTGCATTTTTTTTTGTAAAAAAAAAGGTTGTGGGCATGTAGTATGTGTGTTGGTTTGGGGTTTCAGCTTGTGCAGTTGTACGCGTGCAGGGTGCAGACGCTGCACGGGTATATTCCGTTCCGGTTACGGGTGTTTTATGCGAGTGTCGAAGAATGTGGTACGCAAGCAAATGCGTCGCTATTTGTATGGGCGGAAGTTGGGGCAAGTTGGGTGAAATTTCGAGGAGGCGGCAAAAGCCATGTTGATTCATGCGGCGGAAGTTCGAGGAAGGTTGGTGATAGGTCGTGGAAGGAACATAACGTATGCTTTTGCATGTTCGGAAACAGAGCGCATGGCGCATTACATATGCTGTGTGGATTTATATACACCTTATAACATATTTATATATATATACATGCCGAACCACATGATCGAACCCTCCTCCCGTTTCGGCGAAACTTCATTTTGACCCGCCCTTGGAAGTGGTATTCCCCCACCGGAACCCTCACTCAGTGCGGGATCCCACCGATATCAGAATAGGATCACATCAAGACCCCAACCAGATTTCAATCGGATTCTTGCAGGTTTCTTGCGGGATTCTCGAGGATTCTTGAAATTTCTTGGGGGTTCCCGAAGATGCCTGAGGATGTCAGAATGATTTCCGAAGAGTTCTTGTGGATTCATGCTGAACTCTTGGAGGTCCGTACGGGATGCCAGCAGGATTCGTCAGGGTTCTGGGGGCTCCCTGAGGATTCTTACTTACACGTCCTCGCGGAAGTTGAAGGATTTTGCGAAAGTTTTCCGCCGATGTTGGTCGCACGCTGGGTTCCCGGGTTCCCAGTTCCAGGTTCCCGGGTTCCCGGTTCCGGGTTCCCGGTTCCGGGTTCGGAGGGCGGCGCGGTTCCCGGGTTCCCGGGTTTGTGTTAGATTTGTTTTATAGATATGTCTCACCATCGATTTCATTACCCATTTTTCTATTGATTTTACCACCGATTCTACAATCGATCTCATTACCGATCTTACAAGCGATCTCGCTAGAGATCGCATGAGCGATCTCGCGATCGATCCCACTATCGATCTCATTGAATCGATTTCACTTTCGGTCTCACGATCGACCTCATAATCGTCGTCGCTATCGATTCCAGCATCGATCTCGCAATCGATCTCACAATCGATCTCAAGATCCATTGTATTAACTTTCAAATCATCCACTGATTGGGTGTTCTCAGGTGTAATTTGAAACTTACCATTGTGCAATTGGAACTTGTTTGGATTTGGCGATTCAACCTGGTGCGCAGGATATGCAAGTGACTCTATAGGAAGCGCAGCATGTTTTGAACGAACAACATGTTTCACACAGGGAGTAATACACGGGGCAGACGACTTGCATCTTCTATCCGTGAACGCCATGGCGTAACGAAGTCTGCAGATATTGCTAACCGCGAGCGGTACATTGGTGCTGATGATTCTGGTGATGGCGATGGCGATGGCGATGCAGACGATGCGGAGGAGGACGCGGCTAGCAGCACGAGGATGAGGGAAGGATGACTGGACTGTGCAAGCGCCCCCCGCCGCTCCCAGCGTCGGCACCCCGCGCGCGCGCGCTTGCCCCTATTCTGATTCTGGGACACGCGGTGGGCGCGCCTGTCACCCGAGCTGCGTTCGGTCACCAGCAAGGGTTCATGTTCGTTTTCTCGGGGGCGGCAAAGAGGGGTTTGATGACTAGGGGTGGGTGGATATCATCGCGCGGGCCATGATACTTCCCCAGATTTCACGGCGCCTTCTCATTCCATCAGGTCCCCGGCCCCCCCGCTGGGCCGCGCACGCGCCGCCGGCCATGATTTGCACCCCCCCCTCTTGGACACCCCCCTCTTGGCCGCTCCCGAGTGTCACCCGAGATCCGTTCGGTCACCGGTGTTGAGGCCCAGTCAAGCGACCCCCCCCCCCAAGTTTCGTTCAGTGCGTCGCCCGAGCGTCGCCCGTGCACCGGCCCTGGTTTGCGTCTCTGCCCCGAATCCCGGCCCCCCAGAGTGCGTGGGCGACATGGCGCGATTTCGGAATTTCTCTGGCGATCTGTAGGTTTTCGACGCCGGTGCACCAGCAGCCGTTTTGGCGGTCGCGGCGCACTCTAGTTCGACGGTCCACCAACGCGTTCTGTTTTCAATTCGGCGCAAGAGGATGCTGGCGCGCATTTTCGGGGGCGCCAACCGTTGCTGAGGGCGAAGACGCCTCGCGTTGATTGGGGGCGGCGCGTGTCGCGCCACGGCGGGGGTGACGTCACATCGCGCGACGCGGCGCCACTTCGCCCCGTCGCATAGCGCCCCGCACCCCCATGTCGTTTCGCGCCAATCCTCCTGCCCCCCCCCTCTTCCTTCCTCTTCGCCCCGTCCAACGCGCTGCGCGTTTTGTCCCGTTTGCGAAATTTGTATTCAGTTATTTTGCGTCAGGCTGTCGTCGTGTCCGCCTCCCTACTCGCCCCCCGCTGTCCTCCCACCCTCCTGGGACTTCTTCTCGCCCCCCTCGCCCCCGCCGCCCCCCTTCGATCGCCTTCCATCGCTCCCGCCGCCGCTGCGCCGCCCCCGCGCGCCCCCCCCCTCGCCCTTCCGTTCCCTTTTCCGCCCGCCCTTCCCTCGCCCCACTTCCATCTTTCCCCCCCCCCGATGCGTCGGCGGGCGAGACGTCGCCAAATTGCTGCAGCGACGAACCGATGTTCAAATTCTGACGGGGCGTGCGCTTGAAATGGATTAGTTCGCACGCGCTGCATCTCCATGTCGTTTATTGGTCTCCTCGCGTTCGTAGTTCTCACGTTCGTGTCTCGCTATTTCTACGATTGCCGCGCGCATCCCTTGATTGTTTCGCCAGCGGGCCGCGCAGTTCAAATGCCGTCAGAAGTCCACGGCGCCCTCCGAGCGATTCGCGCGCGACCTGCGCGCGACGCGCGAGCGACCCGAGCGACGCCCGCGCGACGCGCGCGCGACGCACCCCGACCCGTGCGCGACGCATCCCTGCCAGCGCGCGACGCACGATCCACCCGCGCGACGCGCGCGCCACGCGCGCGACGCGCGCGCGACGCACGCGCGACGCACGAGCGGCGCACGCGCGACACGCGCGCGACGCACGCGCGACGCATGCGCGACGCAGTCGCGACTTTGCCCGACCCTAGAGTTTCACCGAACAGCAATGCGCAACGGCCGTCGGCCCGCCGTGCTTGCGCTGTTCACAAGTGGCGGCGGCGGCGTCCTCCATTGCGCCAGGAAGGGCGGCAATTGCCTTTGTTATTTCCTTAATTCTTCCTCGTCGTCCCTCCTCTTTCGTCATTCCTCCTCCTTCGTCCTCCCTCCTGCCTCGTCTCCCTCTCTCTTCCCCGACCTCCTTCTGTCTGTCCCTCCCCCCCCCTCTCGTCTTTTGTTTGTCCCCCCCCCCCCCCCCCTTGCCGCTCGTGTCCCTCTTCATTTTCTCTTTCCCTTTCGGCCCCCGTTCCACGGCCGCGGCGCGTCGCCGCGAGCGGCGCCCCCGCCTTCCGCGAACGGCCCCGCCGCTGGCGGTGGAAGAGGAAGATCACGAGGAGCAAAGGAGGGGGGGGGGGGGGGGGGCAGGGGCGCGAGGCGGGCGCAGCGGCAAGGGCGGCCCGGCAGGGGGATGGGGGGATAGGGGGGAGGACGGAGTGGGCGGGTGCTTCTGTAATGGCCATGTTGGTGATTATGGTCGTGGTCGCGTTCGTCGCCTTGGTCGCGCTGGCGGCGGTCGCGCCGCTGGTGGTGGGCGGGCTGGTGGTGGTCGCGTCGGTGATCGTGCTGGTGTCGGTGGTTGTGGTGGTCGCGAGAAGCGTGGTGGTCGTGGCGGTGGTGATGGCGGTAAATGGTGTTGGTCGTAATCGTCGCGGTGGACGTGGTTGCGGTCGCATCCGTTTGTGGTGATCGTGGCGGTGGTAGTTTTGGCGCTGGCGGCGGTTGCGGCGGCTGCGGGGACCTGCTGGCCTAACGCCGGGGTGCGTTCAGCAGCATCGCTGCATTTGTAATGTTAGAGGGATTTGTTGATCTTCCGAGGTAACCCAGCGGCCGTGTTCTTCTCGCCAAGAGGGCCGCAGCGTGGGCGACTTTCTTTTCCCGAGAGCGTCCGGCCTTTTCAGCGGCCGTGGAGAGGGCGACGCGCGTGCGATCCGCCCCGCGGGTGTCCGCCGCGCCGGCGACGCACTCACCGAATTGCCCCTTTGCGAGGGCGACGCGCGCGTTCGAAAGGGCGGCTGGCCTTTTCGGCGGCCGACGCACGGGCGGCGCACGGGCGACGAATGCGCGACGCACCTCCTGTTGCGAAGGGTGGGGTCAGCGCGCCGTTCGTCTTACTGGGCCTTAACAGTCACCGGTAAGGGTTCATGTTCGTTTCCACGCCAGCATGACACGTAATCGACCGTGGACAACGCAGAACCCAACAACGTCCATGGACGCGCTCGCGGCGCCCACGAGATAGTCAATGGGAGATGACCAACTGTAGTTCGACAAATGCATGAGAGAAACCAGCATGCCATCCGGATGTAGAGCCTCGGCAGGGCATGATTGATTGTAGCCAGCCGCGAATGTTCGTGCTGTTGTCGCGCGCTCCCGCGCGCGCATTTGCGTGCACTATGCGAAACCTCACGGTGCCATGAGAAAACCTCGCGTCACGCACAAAGCTCCAATTGTCTCATTCGTGCCTTAGGCCTCAACACGATACGATATAGTGTGACAGTCGGCGCGTTTCTAATTGCGCGCGCGCGTTCTCGCGCGCGCAATTTCAAACCCGTAGGGGATGGGCATCTCTGCTTGGAAAGCGCAGTAGTGAATAACCAAGTGTGTCACCATTAGTGTGAGGCCTTCAACATGAAACTTACATAGTGTGTCACACTACGCTTCCTTCTTGCTCGCACGTGCCCGTGCGCATGTGCGCGCGAGTAACACATGGCGTCGCAAGCGTGCGTTCACGTTGGGGCCCTTCGATCATGAGTAAAACTAGTTGCGTTCCACTGTTCAGGTTTCGAAACTATGTTGGCCATTCCCAGTTGGGTTTTTGGATTGCGCGCGCGTGCGCACCTGTACGTGCGAGAAACAAAGGAGCCATATCTGACCCACTACATTAGTTCAAGTTGGGGTCCTCGAAATGTGAGTGGATACTTGTCTTTCACCAGTCAGTTTCGATGCTAGCTTGCTCATGTGCTATTTATTATTTATTTCACGCGCGCGAGAGAACGCGGGAGCGTCACAATGCCTTATTTCATGGTTGGGTTTGCAGACCTGCAGGATTCTGAATTGTTTAGGGAGGAGGATGTGTGCGTGGGGTGGGGTGGGGGACATCCGTGGCCAGGAAGGTGCCCTGGTTGCTGTGTAGTTCGTGGCACAGGCATCGCGTCCGCTCGCTACAGAACTTCGTGCGACAACTCAAAGCAATAAGAGGAGCACTCGGGTCCCAAGACAGCCCAATTCGAGACGGCTCGAGACAGTCGAAGACGGCTTACCCAAGATCGCCCAAGACAGCTGAGTCAACCTAGACCGGCCTGTACCTCAGATTGCCTGACCGTCAGGGCAATTCTGGGGTCTTCACGAAACGCTCAGAATCCAAAGGAATCCTCGGGAATCCTTCGGAACCCTACCAGAAATTGGCAGGAATCTTCAGGCACCCGTTTGAAATTCGCATGACTCCTTCCAGAGTTTTCAGGACCCCTCTTTAGAAATTGAAGACATACGGAACCCGCCGAAGTCCGCAGATCCTGGAAGCAATTACTACCAGCAATCCTTCAGGATTCTTTCAGGCATCATGCAGGGATCCTTCAAGAACCCTGCAGGAATCCAGCGGAATCTCCCGGAAAATTCAGGAACCCCAGGAGTAGTTAGTTAATTAACCAGACATCCTTCAAGAATTTTCAGAATTCCGCAGGAGTCTCCAGGACTTCGTCGGGCCGCAATGGGAACATTTCAGCCCGGCGTGTTCTCGATTCCGTGCGTGTTGCGTTGAGTGTCTTGCTAGGGCAGGGATCGGGCGTAAAACGTATATGTTTGCGAGTAGCGGACAAGGCACTCCACCTTGTTCTCCGTTTCTTCTTTTTCCTCCTCTTCGCCGCTATTGCCCATTTTACCTTCACAATCAATTGGGGACTTAGGTCGTCCAGCGAAGGCGCACATCGTTAGTTGAAATTTCACCTGCGCGGCCGCGTCCCGCTAAGGGTTCCAGGTTGATCCATGACGGATTCCTGCGGGTTCCAACAGATTGTCTAGAAGATCTTCGAATGATTCTTGAATAATTCCTGACATATTTTTCGGATTTTGAGGGCTCCTGCAATTGAATCGGGAAGATTCTTAAGAAACCCATAGTGGTCCTTGAAGGGTTCCTGGACTCCCACCAGTTCCTGCAGGATCCCTCCAGAGTTTCGCAGGATCCCTGACAGTTTCTTGAAAGTTCCCAGACATCCGCTGCTTCTGAAGAATTCCTTCATTGTTCTTGGTGCTACAGGTATCGCTCGGATTTCCACTCCATCGGGAATTAAGTTAATGTTTTTGGTGCTACGGATCACGGGGGTGACCGATACTGCGTTTGGATGATTATGTGTATATGTGTGTATGTATACGTATGTGTCGAGACATCAGGAGAACAAGAGAGAGACAGAGAGAGAGAGAGAAACAGACATAGTGTCAGAGAGAGAGCGAGAGAGAGAGAGAGAGACATGTGCAGAGAAGAACCAGCGAACACGAACATGACTTAGGCCAACGACATAGTGATGAGTCGATGTATTCATGCCTCCCCCATAACAAGGTCTTCCTCCCTTGTTTCCCAGTCCTACTCGTCCTCTCCGCGTCCTCCTCGTGCTTTCCCCTGCTCCTCTCTCCCTTTCCTCTTCCTCCTCCCTCCTACTCTTTCTCCGCGCTCTCCTCCTCCTCCCTCCTACTCTTTCTCCGCGCTCTCCTCTTCCTCTTCCTCCTCCTCCTCCTCCTCCTCCTCCTCCTCCTCCTCCTCCTCCTCCTCCTCCTCCCTGCAAGCTCTCCAGAACTCCTTGGAAAAAAAAACCCGGAGGCAGCCCGCGGAAGCGCGCGAGGCCCCGGCGGGGCCGCGTGCGCCCCCGCGCCTGCCCGCCCGCCCGCGTCCCGTCGGGCGACGGGGCCGGCCCCGGGCCACCTCGAGGAGCGCTGCTCCAAGTTTGAGTCGGGCCTGTCAAAACGACGCGAAGACCGGGACAAAATCGGATCGGGATAACTCGAAATCTCTGAGAATCGGCGGGTTTGGAGGATGTATTGGGCGCCGCGGCCGCTCCAGAGCGTTCCGGAACGCTCTGAGAGCGCTCCGGAACGCTCTGGAGCGATTTATCCCGATCCTAGCCCTGTTTTACCTGTTCCTCTACAAGGGGATATCCAAAAATGATCAAAAGATAGACGAGGCACTATTTTTCCAGAACGTTTTGTCAATGTTGGAGCACGTTTCGAGTGTGCTTTATGTTTGGTCGAAGATCCCTCTGCAGGGGGACACGCCCGACTTACTTCTAAGTCGCTCGAGGCGAAGACTTCTTATGCCCCAGCGCCTTAACACGCTTTGGGGCACAAGAACTGAGATGGCTGCTGATATTGCCTCCCGCACATCACCTCCCTTTCCCGCCGCAGCCGGACTTGACGCAGCAGCGATTTCGTTCCCAGCCCCAGCTGCGACGACGAGGTGCCCCACGAGGTCACAAGAGGGCCCTTCAAACAGACCCCCACAGTACTATACCAGAGATTCTTTGTATAAGACGTTTTAGGGCCTTCTTGGAACGAACCCTCTTGGAGCCCTCTCGGGACCCTCTTGGGGACCGTTGGGAATCCCTTGGAGCTTTGTGCAGTCCAGGGAGGTCCTAAGGGGTTTCGTTCCTTATTTATCGTTCTTTAGGTCAGGCCGATGACTGTGTGCATAGATCTCGTAGCCCTATCGCAACGACCTGGCCCGCTTGCCCGTCTCACCGCGCGAGTCTTCCGATCTCACCGCGCGCGTGCCTGCGTCCTCCCCGCTCGTCCACGCGCCCGATCCTCTGCCCGGGGCCCGGCATCGCTCGGACGTGTGCCTTTTTATTTGTTTTGTTTTTGCTTGTTCTCGTCTCGGCGTGGACCATCCAGGATCATCCTGGATCTTCGAGCCCAAGACACGTGCACGGAGCCGAAAGAGGCAGCTGCGAGCGACTATGACGACCACGACGGCGACGACCACGACGACGTCCACGACGACGACGACGACGGCCGTGGCGACGGCGGCGCGACGGCGACGGCGGCGACGACGACGACGGCGACGACGACGACCACGGCGACGTCCGAGCGACGGCCGGGGGGGCCCTCGCCCCCCGTCGAGGTCGAGGCCATGCGCTCCCTGAGCCGGCCGTGCATCGACGAGGCGCGGCGGCAGCGCCCGGCGGGGCGCGCCCGCGGGCCCCCCGGGGCCGCGACCTCGCCGAGGCTGCCGGTGCCGCCGACGACGCCGAGGCTTCCGAAGAGGAAGAAACGGCACAGACACGCACTCAACCCGCAGAGTTGAGGATGGGCAACCTTCCTCCCGAGGGTTATGAGATGCTCCAGCCTGCTTGAGCCTTTAATCACCAGAAAGAACTCCGAGCGCCAAGAAAAAGTACCGAACCTCAAGGGTTTTCTCGCGTCGGGCCCCGGGAGGCACTCGCCCGACACTGCTTCGACACTGTGTCGGCACTCTTTTGACACTTGTCCGGGTGCTCGAACTTATTTCTGGGATGCGGTCCTCAAGCAGGATGGGAGCAACAACACAACCCGAGGGTGCCCTGGCGCCCTGCCTCGTCTGCCGGCCCCAGGGACCCGCACCGCCCCCATCTCCATGCTTCCCTCCAGTTGCCTCCCCTCTCCTCCGTGGGAGAGGGAGGGGGCGAGGGGAGTGGCGGTGGTGTCTACTGGTCAGCCCCGTGTCCTCGGCCCTTCCTTGGCGACTTTCGCTGGCCAGCCTCGTGAGAAGAGCGTTCACGTGGGCCTCCGAGGCCCTTGCGTCCTTACCGCGCATCCTGATGATACGGGTTGACTGTAAACTTTTGGCGCTCCGCGCAGAATTCTTGCATCCGCGCTGGGCCCCCCCCGGCGGCGCTTCGGCGCCGCCCCTGGCGCGTTCCGCGCGCCAGGGAGGGGGGTCCAGTGCAGATCCAAGAAATCCGCGCAGACCGTCGAAAGTTTGTGTTTATGCCGTTTTTTCTTCCTCTAGAGGTGGAAGGTGAACAGGATCCAGCTCGGGTGTTGCTAGAAAGTGCCCCTGGCCCAAGTCGGACGGGGCTAGGACGAGGAGATTTCCGTTCCAGAGCGTTCCCGAACGCTCTCAGAGCGTTCCGGAACGCTCTGAGAGGGCCGCGGCGCCCGAGGCATCCTCCAGATCGTCCAGATTTCAGAGATTCTCGATTTAACCTCGCCCGACTTAATATTCGTCCTGGCCTCGACTCCTAGAAGTGCCCCTGGCCCAAGGTGGCCCGCCTTTGGGACGGCGCCTTCTGAGAAGCAGCCTATCTCTGAGGAGCCTTCCCCCTCCCCCCGTACCATCCTCTGCGCGCCGCCACACCCAGCAGGGCCGCCCACGATCCGCTTCGATGTGTCTCGATTCGGCGGCGCGTGCTGGGACCGCGTTTCGAATGCGATCCGACCTGGCTCGAGTCGCCGGCATTGGCCAGGGCCAGCCAGAGCCATGTGCGGCGTTCGGGTCTCGACCTGGGGACTCCCTCGGATTCTGAGGGCGCATCCCTAAGGTTGCCATCGCCCTAGGGCTTGGCAGCCTTGGGCGTCGGGATGAGCTCGAGGCTGGTTGATTCGATCCAGCACTGGCCTGCATGCTGCGTGCCCCTGCGCAAGAGCACATGGCGCGCCCTACCCTGCCCGATGTGTGTGGCGGCGCTGGTGCCTGCTGCTATAGTTAAGTCGGGCCTGTCCCTCTACAGGGGGGATATTGAAAAATAGTAAAGCAATCGTTAGCGGGACGTTTTTGTTAAGTATTTTTGAATTTTCGGTGCAGAAGCTATTTTGAATCTTTCGGCCAAAATCCGCCTGCAGGGGGACGCCCGACCTAATGCTATATGCTGCAACTGGTGCACCGATCCCGGCCGTTCCGGTCCCTGGGACCGTGGTGGGCCCAGGGCCAGGAACGGCGTCGCCGCATACTTAGAAGAAAAACAACAACAAACATAAACTTTTGGCGCTCCGCGCTTATGTTCGAAGAACATTGTTTTTGTTATTCGAACATTTTTGGGGTTCTAAGAACATCTCGCGGTAGGCCTACAGGAATGCCGGGAAGGTCAGTCCCTGCTCAACTCCTTGGCGTGCGAAGCGCGCCAGGGGCGGCGCCGGAGGCACCGCCGAGGGGGCCCAGGCGCGGATCAAGAAGTCTGCGCGGAGCGCCAAAATTCTATGTGTATGAGGTTTTCCCTTCTTCTATCTCTCCTGGGCCTTCGCCGAGGCCCCCAGTGGGACCGTCCGCATGCGTCCCGGAAACCCAATTTGGCATTTTTACCTACCCAGTAAAGCGTTTGGTGGCCCCACAGGGAGCTCCACCGAAGCTCGCAGTGGAATCGTCCGCATGCGTCTCGGGGGCCCAATTTGGCATTTTCACCTACCCGGT